TAGGATTACAACCAAAAATAAAACTGAGTATAATCCTACAGGGGGGAAAAATGGACATTTAATGAAACAGAGAATTTTCCAGCATTTCTAAAGACCAGAGCTGAATAGAAAATCTGACATTCAAATGTGAGATTCAAGCGAAACATAAAAAAAGTAAAACATGAGTGAGAAATCGTAAGAGATTAAAAAAGTTAAAACTATACATTCTTAAATGGGAACATGATACATATAACCCCCTCAGAACTTTATCATCAACAAATGTCTTAGAGGGAGTCTACACCCGGGTACAATTCTATTATGTTGGTATGATCCTAAATGAAGAATGGAAGGGTTAAAAAGAGGGATTCACCTGTAGTGAGTGGGGAAAGAAGAGGAAGAATGTATACAACGGAGGGGAGAATAGGGGCAGGAATCGGGGAGTGGATAACACTTGAATCACACTCTCAGCTAAACTGCTTTATGATATTAAAAATAGTGCTAAGTAACTCTATTTTGTTTTTTACCACCATTCTGTAAAGTCAGGTTTCAACTCCACATCAATAGCCTGATTTTGGAAATTGTACAAGTTTATTCTCCCTCCCCACTGTCACCTTAACCACAAGAATATCCCTCTACTCCTCATCTAAGTGTCTCCCAATAAGAAACCAGGTGGCTTGATCCTTGCATCCTGTTTATCATTCCCTTCAAACTGTACGTTAATTAACCATATAGAAACGAGGGTTCAGGGCCTCTCGTCCTACCAAAAGCCTGGGCCTCAATTTGTTTTGCAATTGCATGCTCTGCTGAATAAATCACTTGTCTGGATAAAACTCCCTTTATCTCATTTTTAGCAGGTTCAAGGAGAGAAGAGCACGCATGCAATTAGACATAGAAATTCATCTTACCCAACAGGAAGGAGGAGGAAAAGAGGTTAAGAGAAAGGGGGAAGCAACAACAAGAATGAGTAGATTAAGGAAAGCAGTGGTCAGAAGGAATAATGGTGTAAGATTTTTAAATAATATACTAGCAACATACATCACAAAGACCATACTCTATTTATACCACTAATCCAGGGCTGGTTCAATATTAGGAAAACTAAGCTTAACTGACCACATCAATAACAAAAACAACAAAAATTGTATGATTGTTTCAATAGATGCAGAAAAATACAACATCTATTTCTGTAAAAAGCACTAGAAAACACAGCAATAAACAGAGCTTTCCTTAAAACAGGTAGTAACTATCGAAATCCAAGAACAAGCATTATTTATAATGGGATAAGCTAGCTTTTCCAATAACATCATGGCTGAATCATGCATGGATGCTTATTATCACCATTATTATTCAATAGTGTACTAGAAATTTTAGCTCAAGCAATAAGACAAGAAAAACAAATTGAAGGAATCAGCATGGCAATGAGGAAACAATCACTTTTTAAAGATAATATGAGGGTTTACTTAAAGAACCTTAGAGAGTCAACTAAAAAAATGAATCAAAACAATAAACAGCAAAGTTGTAGGACATAAAATAAAAATAAACCCATGCAAATCATCAGCATTTCTGAAGACTGACAACAAAACCCAGCAAGAAGAGATAAGAGAAATTTCATTTAAAAATAACTGCAGATATTATAAAATACTCGCGAGTCTACCTACCAAGACACACAAAAGAATTATATAAACATAATTATGAAATACTCTTTACACAAATAGACAGATCTAAATAACTGGGGAAACATTAATTACTCGTGGGTAGGCTGAGCCAATATAATGGAAATGAAAATACTACCTAAGGGAATTTACTTTTTCAGTGCCATTCTAATCAACTGCCAAAGAATTACTCTATAGAGCTAGAAAAAATAGTAACAAAATTCATCTGGAGGAATAAAAGGTCAATAATATTAATGGAATAAAAAGATGAAGGGAGGCTAGTAGTACCAGATCTCAGACTATTACACTATACTATAAAGCTGTAATCATTAATTTGTAATAATTAATTTGGTACTGGATAACACAATGGTTAATCAATAGAATGGATAGGTACACAATACACAGAAGCAAATGAGCTAAGTAACCTAGTGTTTAGTGAACCCAAAGATTCCAGCTACTGGGACAAGAACTCACTATTTGTTTAAAAAAAAAAATGTTGGGAAAACCAGAACGTCATCCGGCAGAACTATTTATAGACCCACATCTCACATTGTATAACAAGATCAGCTCAAAATAGGTGAATGATTTAGACATAAAGAGTGATATAATCAAATTAGCGGAGCATGGAAGAAATTACCTGTCAGAACTAGGGATCAGGGAACAGATGACCAAATTAGACACAGAGAGGCTCACAGAAGGCAAAATGGATAACTTGATTACATAAAAAGTTTTTGCACAAACAAAACCAAACCTGCTAAAATTAGAAGAAAAGCAGAAAAACGAGAAAAAACTCTTCGCAGCAAGTTTCTATGATAAAGGTCTCATTTCTAAAACATATTAAGAACTGAGCCAAATGTGTAAGAATAAGAGCCATTCCCCAACTGATAAACGGTCAAAAGACACGAACAAGTGGTTTTCAGAGGAAGAAATCAAACCATCAATAGCTAATGAAAAAATGTTCTAAATAATAGAGAAATGCAAATTAAAGCATCTCTGAGGTACCACCTCACATCCATCAGATTGGCTAACATGAGAGAAAAGGGAAATGATAAATGCTGGAGGGGGTGTGGAAAAATAGGGACACTAATGCACTGCTGATGGGGCTATGAACTGGTCCAACTATTGTGGAAGGCAATTCGAAACTATGCCCAAAAGGCTATTCATAACTGTTCATACCCTTTAACTCAGCAACTGTACTACTAGGTCCATATCCCAAAGAGATCAACGAGAGAGGAAAAGGACCTATACAGACAAAATCATTTATAGTAGCTCTTTCAGTGATGGCAAAGAATGTAAAACCAAGAGGATGCTCATCAATTGGGGAACGGCTGAACAAGCCATGGCATATGAAAGGGATGGAATACTACTGTGCTCTAAGAAATGATGAAAGGGATGATTTCAGAGAAACAAGGGAAAACATGAACTGACGCAGGGTGAAGTAAGGAAAACAGTAACAAGATGGTAAAAGATAATCAATTTTGAAAAACTTAGTAACTCTGAACAACTCAACAACCTACCACAATTCCAAAGTACTCATGATGAAAAATGTTGTCCACCTCCAGAGAGCTGATGGATTTGAAAAACTTAGTAACTCTGAACAACTCAACAACCTACCACAATTCCAAAGTACTGAAAAATGATGAAAATGTTGTCCACCTCCAGAGAGCTGATGGATTCAGAGTGCAATCTTTTTTCTCTTTCTTTTTTTGGGGGGGGAATGGGTAATGGGGAAATTTGTTCTGTGTGACTGGTCATTTGAAATGGGGTTTGTATTTTTTGCCTTCTCAATGGATGGGAGAGGGAGATAATTTGAAACTGAATTTTAAAAAATATATGTAAAGAAATACATTAAAAAACTCAACGAGGAGACAAGTGGATATAAGAAGGGGTGTAATTAAGGAGGGAATAGTCACAGAAAAAGTAAACTTCCTAGTCCAGAATAAGGGATTAAAAAAGGAAAAAAAAAAGAAAGGCAAAGAGCTAGAAGCTAAGGAGGGAGAGGTTGCCTCGGATTGTCTCTTAGACAACTGGGGAATGGATGAACAAATTCAGTGAAGGTACGTGAATGCTAAGAACGGCATATTACTTCGACGTAAGAGATGAAAAAGCAGACAACTTTAAAGACTCCTGGATGTCCGGAGGTGACACATAATGAAACAAGCAAAACCAGAAAAATTTACACAACAACAAGGTTGTAAAGAAAAAGAATTTTGAAAGATTTAAGAATTATGTTCAAGGCAATGACCAGCCCCGGTCCACAAGGCCAGCAATCACGTGCGGACGCCCACCCGGACAGGAGCGGTCAGACCCCTCGGGCGGCGGTCACCACCTGCTCTGGGTTTGCTTGACCAGGCTAACCCGTCACTTTCTTTCTTCTCACTTTTCACTGGGGAGAGGGTCGTGAACCCCAGCAACGCCCCAAAAGGGGGGCCGCTGAAGCCTGGTAAGGGCACAGAAGGAAGCCGGTCAGTGGCTCTCGAGGGAATGTTCGTGTGAAGCGCGGGGACCGAAGAAAGCAGACCCGGGCTGCGCCCCCTTTTCTGGGCTCCCCGCGTCTGAGCCTAGATCCTGGGAGCCCGGGCCTGCCCACACCTGGGCCGTCCCCCTTCTCACCACCTCGGGCCACGGGCGGCTGCCCGGCCAGCCTCCGGACAGGTCACTGACCCCCACCAGGGGAGGGAGATGAAACTGACCACGAATGGGGGGGGTCTCCTTTGCGATCCCGGGCCCCTGGGGTCCCCTGGGCCTCAGTTTTGTCCTCTGTAGGATGGGTTGTTGGGAGGGAGACCCCCGAGGTTCGCGAAACGGGAGCCTCAGTTTCCCACACAGCCCTTTCTTCCCTCGAGCTGGTGGGGGGGGGGCTTCTGTCCCCATTTTCAGGAAGGAGGCCGGGCGGCCTCAGGGCCCCGGGGTCCTAGGTTCCAATCCCAGTTCTGACAAGGAGCGACACTTAGCCTGCCAGGGGCCTCAGTTTCCCTATCTGTGCCTGTGACCCCGTGACCCTATCTACCTGGCCATCCTACCTCTCCCCCACGTCCTCCAGGAACCCCCGGGTTCGAATCTGCCCGTCTCCTCTAGCCACCAAAGCAATGGCCCTGCCCTCCGGAGGCACCCACGGCCCCCCGGCCGCGCTTCCGAGCAGCCATGCACGGCAGGGTCAGGATGGCCTGGGGGCTGGGTGGGCGCTACCTGCCTCGGCAGTCCCGTCCGGGCCGGGCTCAGCGCCTGAAGGAAAGGATCAGGGCCCGTCCCCCGGCCGACAGAGGAGGCCCCGGCGCCTGGGCAAAGGCGCGCAGGCGGGAGCCGGGACCCGGCACCGGGCCGGGCCGGGCCTGACTCAGCGCGATGGGCGCCGGCCCCGGCCGCACTCACCGGCCGAGGTGATCATGGTGGCGGCGCTGCTCCGTCCGCCGCGCGTCGCCGGGGGGTGGGGTCAGGGTCGCAGGGATCGCTGGGCTCAGGGGGCTCGCTGTCGCCGATGTAGCCGCCCGTGTAGCCGCCCCGCTGCCCCCGGCCTGACTGACGGAGCGAGGCCGCCGGCGCAAGGACCCCACGCCCGTCGGGCTGCCCGCCGCGGTGCCTGACGCCGCCTGCCGCCCCGCCCCGGCCCCCGCCTCGCTCCGCCGCTGCCGCCCCCGCAGGCCCACCCCGAAGGGACGCGAGCCCCTCCTCGGGGCCGCGCCGCCCGGAGTCGGGCTCGCTTTCCAGCGCGACCCGCGGTCCCGCGGTCAGGCGGCAGTGTGGACAGCCTGAAGGCGAGGACCCCCGCCGGTCCTGGCAGGTGCCTTGTCATGGTTGGGGGCTTGGCGAACGAGCGAGGCTGGCGCCCCCTGCAGGCCGGGAGGACACCCCCCCCCCCCCCCCGGCCCCCCCCCCCCCCCGCCCCCGCACCTCCAACGTGGGTCACGTAATGGGCTCGGCGGCCCTGAAATAGACCCATCGTTGCGGCCGGTGCCTAGGATGTCGATCTGGAGCATCCGGGACCTCAGAGGCCACCCCGGCCAAAAACTTCCCCTCTCGCATTTAACAGAGGGGCAGACTGAGGCCCAGGAAGGGGCATCACACGTAGGGGGTCATAGAACTAGGGCAGCAAGAGACCTCAGAAACCATCACTTTACAAAAGAGGAAACTGAGGCTCAGAGGAGGGCCGGGACCTAGGAACTGTTTAATTAATAGACTCATAGGCTTTAGGGCTGGAACACCAATTGGACAGCCCACAGACTTCAGGACTCATCACCTTCCCTCTACCCAAGATCCCCAAGCACTTGGAGCCAGAAAGGCATCCACCAGGCAGCTGCAGCATCCTTGGCTTAGGGCTGGATGGGCCATCAGAGGTCACCCAGCTAGCAAGGGTCAGAGGCAGGACTGGGATCGTAAGAGTTAGAGCCAGGAAGGGCCTCAACAAACCTCTCCCAGCCTCAGTTTCCCTATCTGTAAAATGAAAGGGTTAGACTAGACGTCGTCAGAGGTCCCTCCCAGCTTTAACTCTAGCCCAAGATCCTGCCTTGAACACTTACTAGCTGTGTGACTTTGGGCAAGTCGATGAACTTCTCAGCCTCACTTTCCTCATCTGCAATATGGGGATGATATACTAAGGCAAAATAGGTATGAGCAGCTGCAGCAAATTCCCAACTAAGGGCCTCAAAGATAGCGGTGGATAGGAAAGGGAGGTGGGCCAAGTAGAGAGTGAGGAGCATTCACCATGGAGACTGGAATCACACAATAATTGCAAGGATCCCTAGAGCAAATCGCTTAACACCTATTATCTCATATGACCCTCATAAGAATGCCAGGGTTATCATCCCCATTTTACAGATGAGAAAACTGAGGCCGAGAAAAGTGGAGTAACTTATCCAGGATGACACAAAGCTGAGGTCTCACTCAGCTCTTCCTGACCCCGAGCCTAGCACTCTGTGGGCTACAGTGTCAAGCTGCAATGTCCAGAGTTCAAGAAGCATGGGGGCTGGGGGTTATGAGGAGACATGAGCGGGAATCATTCAGGATTCGGTACCCATGTCCCAAGATTGCTTGGGAGCTCAAGCGAGGTCGGCACTGCAGAGTCACAAAGACCTGAGTTCAAATCCCGCCCCATGACGAATTTGCGCGTTGGCGGTCACTTAACTTCTCGGAGCCCACAGGCAGCTCTCCAGACTGCATAGAGCGGAGGGGAGTTTCCTCCCCAGGAATTCTCTTCACCCCTGGAAGTCACAAGGTCCCTCCAAGCTAAAAGGACACCCTAATGAGAGTCAATTGTCCCCCTTCGTCACAAGAGGGCAGCATCAGCACGTGGACATTCCACAGTGAGCCAAGCCGGGCTTCAGTCCAAACTCTGTTATCACAACTCAACACAAGCCTTCGGTTCGGTTGAATAATTACTATTTCCTACCCGTGTGACCTTACCCCTCTCTGGGCCTCAGTTTCCTCATCTGCCAAATGGGGGAGAGGACACTGAATGGCTTCTGAGGTCCCTTCTATCTCTACAGGTGCGCTCCTGTGACCAGCCTACTTCACATGAAAAGATGTACGTGAGATTCCTTGAAAATCTTGAGGCACCGCAAAGACGCTAGTTATTAGCTGCTGCCCGGCGGTATTGTAAAGGTGATCGATTGTGAAAAGCTTAGCGACGCTGACCAACACAGCGACCCCCGTGGTGTCAAAGGAATCGTGGTGAAGAGTGCTGTCCACCTCTGTCCCAGAGAGAGAAATGATGAACTCACAGGGCAGACTGAAGCACGTTGTCCTTTTCTTCCTTCCTTCCTTCCTTCCTTCCTTCCTTCCTTTCTTTCTTTCTTTCTTCCTTCCTTTCTTCCTTCCTTTCTTCCTTTCTTTCTTCCTTCCTTCCTTCCTTTCTTTTCCTTTCTTTCTTCCTTCCTTCCTTCCTTCCTTCCTTCCTTTCTTCCTTCCTTTCTTTCTTCCTTCCTTCCTTTCTTTCTTTCTTCCTTCCTTCCTTCTTTCCTTCCTTCCTTTCTTCCTTCCTTCCTTCCTTCCTTCCTTCCTTCCTTCCTTCCTTCCTTCCTTCTT